TGCTCCTTCCCTCATCGGTAACGGTGCCTGGGATCCTTCCTTCCTTCATACAGGACTCTGCACTTATAATTGATGCAATTCATAAGGTTTCTTTCTGCCCAATCCTCTAATTTGTCTAGGTCCCTCTGTATCCGATCCCTACCCTCTAGCGTATCTACCACGCCTCCTAGTTTAGTGTCATCTGCAAACTTGCTGAGAGTGCAGTCCACACCATCCTCCAGATCATTAATAAAGATATTAAACAAAACCGGCCCCAGGACCGACCCTTGGGGCACTACTCCGCTTGAAACCGGCTGCCGACTAGACATGGAGCCATTGATCACTACCCGTTGAGCCCGACGATCCAGCCAGCTTTCTATCCACCTTACAGTCCATTCATCCATCCATCCCATACTTCTTTAACTTGGTGGCAAGAATACTGTGGGAGAGCGTATCAAAAGCTTTGCTAAAGTCAAGGAATAACACGTCCACTGCTTTCCCCTCATCCACAGAGCCAGTTATCTCATCATAGAAGGCAATTAGGTTAGTCAGGCACGACTTCCCCTTCGTGAATCCATGCTGACTGTTCCTGATCACTTTCCTCTCCTCTCAGTGTTTCATAATTGATTCCTTGAGGACCTGCTCCATGATTTTTCCAGGGACTGAGGTGAGGCTGACTGGCCTGTAGTTCCCCGGATCCTCCTCCTTCCCTTTTTTACAGATGGGCACTACATTAGCCTTTTTCCAGTCATCTGGGACCTCCCCCGATCGCCATGAGTTTTCAAAGATAATGGCCAATGGCTCTGCAATCTCACCCGCCAACTCCTTTAGCACCCTCGGATGCAGCGCATCCGGCCCCATGGACTTGTGCACGTCCAGTTTTTCTAAATAGTCCCAAACCGCTTCTTTCTCCACAGAGGGCTGGTCACCTTCTCCCCATACTGTGCTGCCCAGTGCAGCAGTCTGGGAGCTGACTTTGTCTATGAAGACCCAGGGAAAAAAATCATTGAGTACTTCATATTTTTCCACCACATCCTCTGTCACTAGGTTGCCTCCCTCATTCAGTAAGGGGCCCACACTTTCCTTGACCACCTTCTTGTTGCTAACATACCTGAAGAAACCCTTCTTGTTACTCTTAACATCTCTTGCTAGCTGCAACTCCAAGTGTGATTTGGCCTTCCTGATTTCACTCCTGCATGCCTGAGCGATATTTTTATACTCCTCCCTGGTCATTTGTCCACTCTTCCACTTCTTGTAAGCTTCTTTTTTGTGTCTAAGATCACACCTTTAAGGCTGAGCAGCTAACGAAGCTGTGACATCATTCCAAACAGCTAGTCTAGCAGAAGGCTGGCGGGCAGCCAGCATCACACGGCTCTTAGATACCACAGCACCAGGGTGATCCTGGGAATTCCAGCCCTGGCAGTGGGCCCAGTGGGCGGAGTGGAGAATAACCTCACTGTACCAAGCTGCGTTTAACAGTTGTAGCTTTATTCATTTCCAGAGCCCTAGAGTGCGAAGAACTGGTTACAGGAGGGGACGGGGCAGCAGCATGCGTTCGTACCAACAGACCCAAAGCTCCTCCGCGCACTCACCCACTAGCCATGGGGAACTCAGCTCCCGGCCCCCTGCACTGATGTGACAACCACAGCACCTGGGGGGAGAGGTTTGACAGCAGCAGCTGGTGGGACGGGCTTTGAACTCACCCCACTGCGGGTATCTGTAGTGTTCAGAGCGGGAGCCCCAGGGGCTCCCTTTCCCCTCTGGCATGAACCCTTCATCCAGTGACAGGACCTAGAGGCACCGCCTGGCCAGCAGCCCAAACCCCTCAGCACCGAGCAGGGCAGAACGGGGGCATCTCTGGCTGGGTTTCTCTTGTTGATCAGTTAGTCTGAGCTGGGCGGGGTTCCAATGCCGCTCCCAGCCTCAGTGCAGGGCCAAGCCCGTCTCCCTGCCACTCCAATCCCGCCTGGAGAACGGTGATGCTCCCTACAGAGCCTGCCCCGGGGGGTTTGCCAGGGGCTAAGCGGGCAGAGCCTGCCCCGGGGGGTCTGCCAGGGGCTGAGCGGGCAGAGCCCTCCCCGGGGGGTCTGCCAGGGGCTGAGCTCCTGGGCCAGGTCGGTGCCGTTCGGACAAGGAGCTGCGGGGTGGGTGTTGGAAGAGTTTTCACTGGTGAGTGTAATGTATACAATCAGGCCCGGCCCCTGACACCTCAGTCCCCCCCCCAGGAGAAAGGCAGCTCTCAGATGCACCGGGAGAGCAGGGAGGAGGAAAGGCAGCCGGAGATGCAGGCAGGAGCGAACACACACGCACACACAGCTATGCCAAGGTCCCCCTCGGCAGGGCAGAAGGGTGAGTTATTTCATTAGCTGGAACCCGGTGCTCCAGGCGGGGGCGCTCTGCTGGGGTCTGCTGCACGCACAGGCTAGCAAGTCCCTGCCAAGAAGGGGCTTGGAGAAGAGACTCAGCAATGGGTTGGGGAGAGGGGCTGTGCAAGGAACATCAGTCTCTGTGGGGGGCGGGGGGGTCCCTTAGGAGATGAGGCGGCTGTGCAGCTCACACAGCTGCTCCGGCGTCAGGACCAGCTTGTGCACTTGGCCATGCCCAGGCTGGCAGGGGAAGGTCACTTTGCCAACGTACACGGTGTCTTCCTTCTTCTCCTCTTTGGCCTGGAAGAGCAGAGCGGAGGGTCAGGGGCAGCAGGACTCAGGCTGATAAAAGCCACCCCGAGCGCCAGGAGGGTACCACTGTGTTATCTCCTAGGGGCCAGCTCCAGAGGGTGTCGCCCGAGGGGGGTTTCACACACCCCAGGGCCCGGTCGCCTTTCCATGGACCCATGGAGCTCCATTCAGCCCAGAGCCACGCCCCATGGGGATGGCGTGTGCTACCCCCCAGGAACAGCGACCAGCTCCCCCAGCTACAGGTGCTGGGACCCTGCGGCCCCCGGACTGCTAATCCAAATCCTCCAGATTGTGGCAAGGGAGCTCCACGGGAACTCAGCGCAGACCCTTCTGGGGCTTGGCGAGGACACCTGCCGGGCCACGTGCGCCCTCGGCCGTCGCCCCAGAGCTCCAGCGTCCCGGGGCTGTGGGGAACGCTCCCAGGAGAGCAGCGTCTCACCTTGAGGAAGGCTGAGGATGGGAAGGTGGCGAAGTCAGTGAGGACATTGGCCCCGGGGTGCTGCAGGACCGTCTC